TTGGCCTGTCAGAGATTGCCTTTTTTTTTTTTTTTTTTGCCCAAAGAATTTTCATTGGCAATTCACAACAGGGGGAGACGTGTCAGACATAACTCGTCAGCCCACATCTTTTTTCTTTTTCAAACTTTTTTTTATTTTAAATGCAACAGACATACTGATCGATCCTTTTTTTTCCTTGAACACCACACGTACCTGATCAACCCCTTCTTCTTCTTCTTTTTTTTTCTTTTTTCTTTTTTTTTTTTTGTTTCGACAGAACACAGTGAGAACAGTGATAACACACATACCTTATTAGTAATTAATAATTATAACAAAATTTATAATTATAGCTTTTATTTTTATTTTTTTGAAAAAACATAAATGCCTGATGCACCCTTTTTCGTTTTTCTTTTCAATTTCAAAGTACAAATTCATGCAGAAAGCACAATGCCGTCCAATTGCAAAAAGAAACGAATGAAGTCCAGAGGACAACAACAACAACAACAACAAGGCGAAGAAGAGGTGAAGAAGAAGGCGAACGCGAAGAAGGCGAAGAAGGCGGCGGGGGCGGCGGCGAAGAACTATGGCCTTTTCCTATCAGGCCGCCATGCCTGACTCTGCCTCGAAGCTTCTTTATGTACCTCTACCCCAACATGCCACATGCAGCGTCCACCAAGGTGATGAAGATGGCGTCCACCATAGCCAGGTCAGTACCCCTGGTGCTTCCCTCTCCTAGTCCCTTCTTCCTCCTCCTGCCCGATCTCCACCATAGCCAAGGTGGGGAGCTGGGAGCCCTTCTTCCCCACACAGCGCTGCATACTAGCGCTGCTTCGCCAGCGCCGCAGCAGCATGACGTCCAAACTTGAATGCAACAAATGACGAGTTTTGGACGTCACACTGCTGCAGCGCTGGCGGAGCAGCTCTTTGAGCAATCGATGAGGAGCGCTTTGCTACTCCTGGAGATATAGCGGCCAACTTGCCTCTTGGGCGGTGACTTCCAGACAGTGCGCCGCCTCCAAGCAACCAGTATCTCCTCCCTTTCGGAGCGAAACATCATTGCAGACTCGGATATCGCCCGTACAGGGCCTAGACTCAGACTACTTGGACTGGTACCCCCCAAGACCTAGCCTACAACTACTGGGCCTCTCAAAAATTGCCAACTTCTGTCTTCTTCTGCTCAGCCTCCAATCCCCGGCACATCTACCGCTACTTGAGTGGTATCGGCCTACCTGCTACTTGACTGCCTTTTCCCCGCTCCTCTATGTGCTGCGGGCCTACTCCCGCTACTTGAGTGCTTTCCCCTCCCCTCTGCAACCCTCAATGTCACGGCCACAGGTAAGTACCGACCCTGCGGGGCCTCCCAAGCAAGCAAGTACCCTTGGGCGTCACACACACACTCAAGCCGACAAGCACTCAGACTGGCACGCAGACCAGCAAGCACGCGCACGCACAGACTTGGAAAAAAAACTCGGCAGAAAGCGGGAAGGGAATCTCAGCAAGGCATTCATTCATTCTACCGGCAAGACTGTCATTTTTATTTTTCCTTTTCTTAATGTTTTTTTTATAACTTTTTTTTTCCAAGGAAAAAGACAAATCAGCTGTGTTCTCAGCCCGTGTTCGGGCAGGTCCTTGCATTTTTCTTTTTCCTTTTCTTAATGCTTTTTTTAAGTTTTTTTTTTTTTTTTAACAGCACACATATCTCATCAAGCCTTTGTCTTTTTCCTTAACATAACACACATATTTTTCCTTTAAAAAAAAAAAAAAAAAAAAAAAAAAAAAAAAAACTAAACGCCTGGATGAGCCCTTTTCTTTTATCCTTTCCGTAGACCACCACCGCTACCTGCAGGTCTCCGAATTTCGAGTAATAGCCTGCAAGTTGAAGTGTCAGGAGGCGGGGACCGTCGTCGACTAAAAAAATCCATCGGCGGCGTCCGTGCGTTCCAGGCCTCCCTACTTCGTGGAGCCTTTTTCGTTGACAGGTACGCTGCAGGTAGAGTGGTGTTTTTTTTTTTTTTTTTTTTTTTTAAAAACACCACACATATCGTACTTTCTATACGTTGTACCTTTGTACTCGAGGAGATCTCATGAGCTATCTTGTTTGCAGTGTGTGTGGTAGTGACTTCTCACCCAATCAATCAGTGAAACCAAAGTTCATCAATCCTTTTTCTTTCCTCTTTCTTTTTTTTTCATTTTTTTTCCTTTTTTTCCTTTTTTTCCTTTTTTTCCCTTTTTTTCATGTTTTCCATTTTTTCATTTTTTTTTTTTTAATTCTTTTTTTCTTTTTCTTTTTTTTCTTTTTTTTCTTTCCTCCTCCCCCTCTTAAGAAAAGTTCACATAACAAACATACCTGACCAGCCCATTTCAGGATAGCATCAATCAGAACTTTTTCCGAGATCGGCCGTAGTTGAGATGACACCATTCTGTGAATGTCCTCCAGGCCCAGATTCACAAATTCACAAGTGTCCTTGACTACATGCAGGCTTCCCAAAATGACATAGAAACAGTCTGACTGCAGGGCACTCATTCCAAATCTGTATTGATTCACAAGGTGGCCCCCACTCACCCCGCCTCACSCCCCCCCCCCCCCCCAGGCCTCGAAATCAAGAAATATAAAATAGTACAAAAAACGAAAACAAAAAAACAGACCACAAAACCCCAAGCCAATCCAAAACACAAAAAAGGGTGAGTATTACACACACGATCACACACAATCAACGTCAAGGAAAGAACCGACATCAACAATTATTAACTGACTCAAACTGAGAAAATAGTATATCCTCCTCCCTCACCATCTTCCTTTGCCAGTTTGCCTCCTGAAGCCCTTCTTTTTTTTTTTTTTTTTTTTTTTTTTTCCTTTTACTGTCAATGGCAAGGAACATGAGCAAGAGTGATAGACAGAAATCCAAATTGCAGTATCACGCTGTAGAGTCGTGTAGACCCTATAGGGCCTAGAGTCCGATACAAAGCAGGAAGCACCATGCACCGAGATAATACAAGCCAAACAAGAGCAATACAATGAACTGAAATGCATTCAATGACGACACTCTCTCGCCACACCAACACATCGTATCCAATGTAGCTCTTCTCTATTGGCGCTCAGCGTCCGGCCTATCCTACTCAGCAACTACTCTAGCCTACACCACGTTCGTGCAACAGGATTCACTATCGAGCGGAAGACCCATGTGCGTGACAACGTCGCCCAAGAAGACTGCCAGCATACACCAGGGTACATCTATCTCCTCTCCTCATCACCCCTTGTCTCCCCCTTCCGCATGCGCCTCCTAGCAGAAGACCAACATCGCCATCATCCGCCATGCGCCCCAGCAGCCCTGCTATGGCCGCCGTGCGCCCGCTGCCACAGCAGCGCCCTCTCACCTCCAAGCGCCCGTGTGCACCCCAGCCTGCCAGCGCTCATGCGACAATGCAGCAGCGTGGCTGCAATGCCTGAGCAGGCCAGCATGTCTTCCCCTTGGGCGCTCACTTTCCTTTATGGAAAGTGGGCCCGGCTGCTGCCTGCTCTGGGCCTGGCATGTGCGGGCCCAGTAGATTCAGGTGGGCCCAAAGTGTCTACGTCCAGGGCCGTTCAGACAGTCGCAAAGGCCCACGGCTTCCAATGTGCCCCGTTCCCAGGCCCCAAGTGTTTGTTGCGATCTCATTGCCTCGTGGCATGCTTGTGACGGTGGGGCTGCATTCGCATTGGTCCACCGCCAGTCGGGAATGTGTCGGCCGCAGGGCGCATGTGCCGAGGGCCTTCGCCAACTGAGCCCTGGGCTCAACCACCGGACGTGGGCACAACCACCAGGCCATGCCATCATTATAGCCCTATAAGTAAGTGATATAGGACTATATCGCGAGTTGTGTGATATAGGACTAGATCACAAGTTGTGTGATATAGGCCTACAGCGCGAATGAGCCAGGGACGGCTCACGTTGCTCGGCAACCAACTGTCGTGGGGTAACTGTCTGGTGGCCCCATTCAGGAAATTTTGACAGATCTTGGGGCCCCCTCGTCGGAGATCAGGCCCGCCTTCACTTAGGGCGGGCAACATGCTTGCTGGCGGCCCCCATGGGCATCTGGAGACCACGGCTTTGCGGCCTCGTGAGGAGAAAATCCTCAAGGCTCGCGCAACGCAATACGATCTTCCCTCGCCCCTCAACTCAATGACCAGCTGGAGACCGCGGCTTTGTGGCTTTGCGGCCTCATGAGGCTTTGCGGCTTTGCAATTGCGTGTATGATCCACAACCCAACACCGGGATAGAACACTGGACTGAACGCTTTTTGGCATTCCGAATTGGTTCAAGCCTCCATGAAGAAAAGTGGTCTCCGGCATCGTGAAATAACGAAATTCTTTGACAAGAAAAAAAAAAAAAAGAAAGGACTCCCACGGTGCGAGTGTAGCAATAGCCCCCCCCCCTCCCAAGCATGGACAGGTCTCTCAACGAGTCCAGTGGGCCAACGAGGCCAGGCCTACCTTCTTCACCCGAGTACAAAGTACGGTCATTATGGCTGTATTTGGGGTATCTTTTCGTCTAAATACGCAGCTATAATGACCGTACATTGTATTCGGGTGGAGAAGGTAGCCCCGTAGCGTCCGGTAGGTTAGGACGCCGACTGCCGACTGCAGTGTGTCCACCAGCGTCAAGCAAGTCAATGGCTCAGGGTCCTTCAAGAAATTCAGTGAACATTTTTCGAACACGTAAAACTTTTTTAAGGCCCAATGAGTCGGGATGACGCAATACCTTTCTCGGCCTTTTGGCTAAGATCAAGTGCACTGTATCTGTTCTGATCAGTTCAATATCTGATCCGTGGTCCATCGGACCAAAAAAAAAAAAAAAAAGGCCGGATGATGCAGGCCACCATTTCTCTCGATAGCCTGTGTCATCGAATGATCTTACGCACGTCTCATTTTTCTGACTCTGGTTGGACATGACAGCTTTCTTTGTTCGCCGATACATCGAATTGCCGTTGTGTTCTGCATGCATGCATGTTGCTCGAGTGTGGTTCCTTAATTCCTTTTAGGCCGGCAGGCTACTCTGTACCAGGCCAACAAGTCCAAGAGGAAGCCGGCAGGCTACCGGGTACCAGGCCTACAAGTCCAAAGGCATAGAAGCTGAAAAGCACAGCCACAATCCGCCATCAAAAACCTGCAACTCCACTCGTGTTTGACGCAGAAACGCTGTTGCCCAGTGAAGTGCTGGAGTGATGAGTACGGCAGCAAGGGTGAGCAAGCACCGGGGTAGTCGACATACGCTTGAATCCATAGCTTCGCATAGGACACACACACAGAGAGAGAGAGAGAGAGAGAGAGAGAGAGAGAGAGAGAGAGAGAGAGAGAGAGAGAGAGAGAGAGAGAGAGAGAGAGAGAGA